TTTTTTTTTTTAAAAACCACCACCACTCACTACTGCCTATGTTCAATTCACTTGCTACATATTGTTGTTAAATTACCTATATGTAGATATGTAAATACACGTATCGTTAGCTCTAATATTTTTTTCAAGTCATCTCTGCTGTTAAATAGGGGAGGTTTCAATCTTAAAAAAAATCATGTTCTTTGAAAGAATGCATACTGACATACAAATTAAGTCATATGTCATCTCTTGAATATCCGCATATGGTTTCCATGTGGAAAATAGCACCTCTTGCCATACAAGACCACCGATCTTATTAGTGATAACATCTGGCTATTTAGAAAGCTCTTTGATGTCAGTATACAGTCTGTGGAAGAATACAGTTAATCACAAGTAATGTCTGGAGCTTCCTGAACATCATCTTGTCTGAAGTAAACAATTTATTATTTTATCATAACTTATTGTCTTAGAGACAGAAACAAATACTCACGTTACTACATTTTAAAATTGCCTCTAGAAAACCTTAAGACAGGAAGGACAACTTTGCATGCCACATAAAGGGCTTGTCCTCCTAGTGGTGTAGTGTAAAAGTTCATGAACTGTTCACATTGCTTACAAACATACAGTAAATATACTTCAACAAGTACTTACAAGCTTGCTTGGAAAAATTCTTAGGGATACTGCCACAGCAGAAGTGTAGTGCTAATAATTGCTAATCCCGAGTGAAATGGGTGAGAACAGGTTATAAGTAGAGATTTTTTTGTAATTTTCTAAGCTTTCAAGTTTTAAAATTGTATGCAGACCTATTCCAAAAGTAAAAGGTGACAGAAAATGACTGGGAAAATAAAAAAAAAGTATTGCTGAACTGTATCAACTGACACTTGTTGCTAACTCCAACGACTACAGATATAAGTTTCTACAGTTTGAGAAAATAGATACTTTGCTTCATAATAACAACACATTTGCCTGCTTCCATGAAAATTTCCAATTTATAGATGAAAGAAAAGAAAGAACTACAGGAGCTTTTCGTTTTGCCAAGTCAAAATTTTGAGGACAAAGCTGTTTCAATGAAACTCAATTTTTCCATAAAACTGTCAGTGAACTTTGTTTGCTCTACCAGTAAAATATTTGACACAGCCCAAAATTATATTTGCTGATAATCAAGAATAATACACTTATAAAGTGCATTAGAGATACAGTAAGCTACTCAAATACCTATTAATACCAAATATGTAGTAATACCTTTAACATTTCACTGGCTGTTTAAGTCTGAGGCAAGATGTCAGAGATGAAACAGATCCGACTCAGTAAGGTACTGAATACGATCACCTGAATCCACTAAAATTTAATGATGTAAAAGATTTAGGAACAAGTTACAGGGATTTAAATTCACAGCCACTTCTACATCGTATTGCCATAGTGTTAAAAATTTATTCTATAGATATTTAGAGCACGCTTACTTTGGCCCAGGCAATTTCTGAATCTAGATCAGAAAGCAAGCTCTCTGAAGCAGACTTCTGCACGAGCTCAGCCTCAATGGTGGCTAGCCAGTCTGACAAAGAGGCAGCATCTTTCTTCATTTTACGTGCCAGGTAAGATGCTCTTTCGAGGTCTTGTTTTCCTTCTGTCACCTACAAAAAAAAAAAAGGGAAAAAAATGACACAACTAGATATTAAAAGATAGTAAAAGCGCTAGCCAGATAAAATATCCACCTGAATACACAAAATCCTTACATCATAACACTGTCTTGGATTAGGGAAGGACCCTGAAAAGTCATTTATAAACTTCTGCATCTTACTACAGAAAGCAGAATATGTAAAACCAGAACAATTTTAAATTAAGATGCACTTAAAGGAGACAAAGCAGCCTGCATACCAACTTACTTATAGCTAGGAATCAAACTGTTGTTTAAGCTTTGTTTATTATGATCCTTTAACTGAAACTCAAGGGGATATAGAATCCAGTCAGTCACAGGTAAAATTTAGTTCCTTTTTGTATTTTGATGGACCTGCTAGCAGAAAGGTGTGAAGATAAATTTCACTGAAAATCTAGTCTTCCCTTGAAAATGTCTCAGTAAAGTGAATATGAAATTTGATGTTTGCTGCAGTATAATCAATTCTATTTCATACTGGCCACATAATTAGTCTGGTTAAACTTTAACACAGACTTGAGAATAAATCCAGCCAAAGCAATCAGAATCAACTGACATTTTGAAAAACTGTCTTCTGTCTCAGCTTAGTGTTTATATGCATTCATTCAAAATAACGCACTCTTTGAAGATCTAAAAAAAATAAATTCAGACACAAACCAAATCATAACATTATACTGCCAATAACACTGCCTTTTCACCCTTTCCCAATTTCTTGTCTACATTTTTTCTGAGTTATAGATGTACATGCTCCACTAGAATCCACACCTCCGTGAATGTTCTCCACTTTACAACCATACAATATTTCCTAGGGCTCATTTCAAGATCTTCCAACAATGTAACCTGGCCACTTACCCACAGCTTCATTCACAGAACACTGAACAGGCATGAGTCTATTTGGACTTCTGTCTTAATTTAGGTAGGAAAAGAATCCCTTATTTCCCCTGCTCCCTAAGGGTTTAACCACTTTTAAACACTTCACTTGGATAAATAACTGCCAATTACTAAGAGAATTGCTCAAATCAATATTTAATGCAGTTCATGGGAAACACAGGTTTGCCTGCACATTCTATTTTATACTAAGAGCAACCCTCTAAATAGATTACTAGTAGAAACCATCGTGACACCTCCCCCAAAAAAATATTGCATCAACTCAAACTTTTCATATGACAATATGATAGTACGTTATCTTGCAGGCTTGTTTATGGACAAGAGAAGGTACAACAGCACCCAAAGACTTTAACAAACAGCAGGCCAGATTCGCCAGCATGATGAAAGCCCTGTGAACCTTCCTTTCTTCAAGGCTACCTCCCCTTCACAAATGCTCTGTGAGCACAGGGGTCTGGCACAACTACAGGATTGTTATGTGTAATCTTTAATCTCTCAACTGATTGCTCCTAGATATAGCAACTAGCCTATACAGTATCAGCTTCAAAATCAAAACAGCATCCAACATCAAAACAACAAACAAGGGACTTTTTATGCAGGCAAATGTTCACACGTACATTTGGTTTTCTTACCTGTGCCCCCAAGTCATTGTAAAGAAATTTCAATGCTGTCAGTTGTTCATCCATCCCTTTGGGATTATCTGTCTGTTGCTTCTGTACAATTTGCCTTCCTGTCTTGATGACTGTTTCAACCTCCAATTTCACCTCACTGAGGGTCTTATAGAGTTTCTGAAAGCACAAATATGTATATTGGTGAACAATTGGTAGGGCAGATTTTCAGACTTTGCTTCATTTGGGGACCTGACCATCAAATTGCACTTGAACCATCTATGGATTAAGACCAATGCCTGCCAAGAAGATTTCAAACTCCTGATGTTCCATATTTTATTCTAGTTTTAATTTTCACCCCAAAAAAATACCCCAACAATCAAGCAGTGTTTACTCCATAGCACCACCACATGTGCCAAGGCTAACATTAAGATCTGTACTTGATTTTATGTATAGTGTTTGTTTTGTTCAAATACTAAGAACCAAGCGAACTTGCCCCTGGAATGATGCTTCTCCATAACATGAGGATGAGCCAGGGAATGGAGTTTACAAAGCCTCAGCTGTTCCATCACATCTGTGATCAACAATCCACTACTTTTACATCCATGTTCTCACTCAGAAGGATTAGAGAGTTTTAGTTGTCAATTGTTGTAACAGTTCCATCAAGACTTTAAGCAAAATTTCCCCAGGAGAGAGAGTCTAGGCAAGAAGAATCACACAAGAAACACATACCCCCAAGCATGAGTTAAGAACATTACATACTTACCATGCACTTGTCCAGATGAGCTTGGATTACATCTGGATCAGTATCCCTCACATCCAAGACATGAAGTTCTGCTTCTACACCATCCAACACCCGCTTGCAATCCAACATGCGCTGCTCAAAATTGGCTGGTTTCTGGAAAAGCTGATACTTTGTAGATACTTCACGAAATTTTCTCTGTTTTAAAGAATATTATGTTAAAAGATTGTTTTAAATACCTGCACTTCAAAAAATAAAGTTCAAAGCACCTACCCACCCCACCCCCAGATTCTAACTTGCATCTTGTGATACCACAACTCAGCATACATGGCAGCACTATTTGCCAAGCCAAATTCCATCACCTATTCCTATTCACTTGAGGTGCAAGAGAGCTAGTTCTGTAACATACCCTTTCAAAGTATCCATCCTACTGAAGTATAAAGACTTTCTGACTTTCAACATTTATCCCATGATACTTACAATATTTAAACTTCCTTATTTAATTCATCTAGTGCTGCTTGTTTCCTGTCAAAAGCATATAAAAACATACTTCTGAGGTTCAGTTGACCACATCAAGCTATTTACAGGCTGACAACAGCAGTGTGTAACTAAAAACCTGAAGCTCTTCACATTTAAATTCTTAATGCAACTCTCATTTTTACCTGCAAAGCATCCAACTGAGTTCCACCACGGGGAGACCTGCACTCAGGAGAAGCAGGAGGGAAAGTACGAGCACTTTTCTTGAGCTCCTCTAAGGTGGATTCATGAGCTGCAATCTCAGCTTGAATTTTCTGCCATGTCATAGAAACAGGAGGGAAAAAAATGTTACAAAATTGCTTGCAGAGAGGGGAGGAGGAACTTGCTTACCACCTATTACCCACCAGAAGTAAATGCACTCTCTAAGAGTTAAATACTACCAGGTTTATTTTAAATATTCTGGCTCTGGTGACAGCTTGCTAAATTAAAAGATTTCAAAAAATATCACCGAGTACATCAGCACAGGCCTGAAATGAAGCCTTCACAAAAAGTCTAGGCTGAGCACTACCATGAGATATTTCAAAATGTTTTGTAATGAAAAGCTATACTGGAATACCTGGGCCTCCTGAGGCATCTGAAAGGCATCTACCCTATCAGTCAGGTAAGATGTCAGCTGTCTATCCAGCTCTGCTAAGTTTTCCTGCAAGACCTGCAACATGTGGTCAGTTTCTCGCATGGTCTGAAGCTGCTGTTCCAAGGCAATCTGCCGGCTCACCGCCTGAGTGGGAAAGAAAGGTAAAACAAGATGGAGCAGTAATTCAATATGGATTATATTAAACTTTCTCAAAACAAGGTGGGGGAGACCAAAACACTCCTGTGCCAGGAGGACGGTCTAAAAAAAAAAAAAGCAAAAGCAAGCCCTCTAAGGCAGCAATTTTTGAAATCTTCAGTGATTCCTATTGGTAACTGACAAACAACGGCATACAAGAATTCTGCTACTAGATATACATGATAGTGAAAACAGGTCTCTCCTGTCACCTCAGGAAGAAAGTTTTCTGTTAAAAACATGCCAGCGTCAGAAACTAGCTATTCAATGGGAATCAGGGACTTGTTAATACACTACAGATCAATATTGTTTGAGGTTAATGACCTTCTATGCCAACTGGATACTCACAAGTCTATGGGGCCAGATAAGATCCACCCAAGAGTGCTGAAGGAGCTGGCGGAGGAACTTGCCATGACACTCTCCATTTATCAGCAATCCCGGTTAACAGGAGAGGTCCTGGAAGACTGAGGGCTTGCCAATGTGACACCCATCTACAAGAAGGCCCAGAAGGATGATTCAGGGAACTACAGGCCTGTCAGCCTGACCTCGGTACCAGGCAAGATTATGGAGTGGTTCATCTTGGATGCACTCACACAGCAAGCACAGGACATCCAGGGAATCAGGCCCAGCCAGCATGGGTTCATAAAAGGCAGGTCCTGTTTGACCAACCTTATCTCCTTCTAGGATCAGGTGACCTGCCCAGTGGATGAGGGAAAAGCTGTGGATGTTGTCTACCTCAACTTCAGTAAAGCATTTGACAGTCTCCCACAGCATCCTATTGAACAAGCTGGCGGCTCATGGTTTAGACACATGTACTCTTCGCTGGGTTAGAAACTGGCTGGATGGCTGAGCCCAGAGAGTCGTGGTAAACGGAGTTAAATCCAGTTGGCGACCGGTCACAAGCAGTGTTCCCCAGGGCTCAGTTTTGGAGCCAGTCTTGTTTAATATCTTTACCAAAAACCTGGGTGAGGGGATTGAGTGGTGGAGTCACTATCCCTGGAGGTGTTCAAAAGATGTATAGCTGTGGTGCTTAGGGACGTGGTTTAGTGGTAGGCTTGGTAGTGTTAGGATTATGGTTCGACTTGACGATCTTAAAAAGGTCTTTTCCAACCAAAATGATCCTATGATGTGTAAACTTGCACATTTTCTTCGAAAACAATAAACTTTGTCTTTCTGTTACAGTGTAAAAACGGAGGTTCACAGTTCCTTCACTCTATTGCCTCTCCCTTCAACAGCAAAACTTCTAAGTTCATCTGAAATGTCACTACTTGCATGGGAACACAAATTCCCAACTATTAACACAGGCACAGACCAGTAGGTGCGTACATACACACACACAGATGGGGAAAGTTGTCAACGGTCCAGTGTGTTAGCGCTGCAGCTGCCAAAGCAGATAGTTTTTATACGGCAATGAAGTACTGTTGTAACAGGAAAAACAACAGTGAATGCTAACTTAAATGACAGCATGTAGCCCCCAGCTGAGGGCACTGCATTAATGTTGCTCACTGTAACGAGGATGAACCGAAATTCCCTCTATGACTACACTTTGGCAGTGACAGAAAAAAAAATCATCCTACAATTTGGCAGGGCCTTGTATCACCAGGATACAAAACACAAGTTACAAATTTATGCAACCTGAAATACAGTTAGTCTTCCTCTACTCATTAAATCTAGAAAAAGATTAGATTAAAGTATAAGAGAAAGGGGACAACGTAATAGATGGGCAATGAGAAGAATGTTTTCCTTCTGTTTCTTATTTCAGTGTGACTTCTTCCTAGCTATTTCAAAGAGTAAAAAGGTCACTTATTCATGTTCCTCGTTTTTACAGTTAGTGACCAGCTTGCCAGCATCTACCACAGTAGAAAGGGAATATTAACCTCAGTTATTGAACTATCCCCCTTGAGACTGGAATTGCATTTTTGTCAAAATTACCTGGAAAAATACCAGGGGGTTCCCGCAGTGTAAGGGTGTGCAAGTGTGCAAAACAAAACCTGACTCAAGTCAGAGGCAAAAAGAAAAAAAAAAGCATCTTGCTCTTAGGGCATTTTTCTAAACTGAAAACAGCTGACAACTTTGCAAAGGCTTTTCCTCTTTTCCTGTATTGCAGTCCTGCATCTATGAATTCAGCTATCTAACAGAAATCATTTCAGACCACTGAGCTGAAAAACCCAGTTTACTTCAACCCTGCCCCCAAATTCTTACCAAGTGACTCAATTCCTCATAGCGGGCATTGAAAGCCTCCAATTTTTCACTGATGATATCATCAAGAATCCCTCCGTCAATCAGTGTCTGCCCAAGTTCCCGAATCTGGGTTCGATTATCAGCTGGATGACGCAGGACGGATTCCAGGGCCTAATTAGCAAAGAAAGTTTTAAAGGTCAAGACACTGAATATTACTACATTTTCAGAGGTGGAAATCTGGCTGCAAGCACAGAAGTTTTACACATCAAATATCATGAGAGCACTCTAAAGGCATGAATTAGTTACGGCTTAATCCATGATGGCACAAGGCAAATACAGTGGTCATTTTGCTTTAGATAATTAAACTTCACAGCACTTCTCGCCTATTCACATAATTTCATATTGTAGTGCTGGAAGGTGTTAATCAATTTACACAGGACAGGAGAGCGCATACAATTTTAACATGGTACTAAGTATGGCACAATCATGTACTGCAAAATTTAGCTTTTGATGGACGATCTTACACATCCATTCCAGATTCAGAGTAATACGTTCATTTAACCTGAAGAATGAGAATATTCAACACATAGTTCAGTATTCTACTGAAATGTAGAATTTGTGGGGGTTTTTAAATGGAGCTATCTGAAAAGTTACCAATCCGACAGAACGGCTACAATACCTCAAGAGCGTCATTGACAGCATCCAATTTATCAGGCAGATTTTCCGTCATTTGCACCCTTTCTTCCAGATTGTTTAGCCAACCTGTTTCTAAATCAAGATACTGAAGCAGCTCAATCCAACATGACCACACCTCCTAGAAGCAACAGGGAAAAAACCTGTTAGCCTCGAATGCCAGGCATAGCTCATATCCCCTATGAACAGCTTACAGAAGTTATGCTCGAGACATTCATCTAAAATAGACAAGCAGAAAATATTCAAAAACATGCCATGGTGCAGGAAGTTGTAGACAGAAAAACATGCAACTACAGCAGCGAGATAAAAAGAAATACGCAAAATACACAGAAGTCTCTAAACTCATACTAAAATGATCACTGACATTCAGATTATTACATTTAAGAATGCAACAAAATGCATCCACTCCTTTTGAAAGATGGGACATACACAACCTACCACAAACAATAATCAACATGTCCTAATTATTATTGTATTTCAACCTTTACTCTCTGAGAAGTTTTTCTAACATTTGGAAGACACATGGATAGACAACAGAGCTGTGAGACAAGGTTGCTTATTTGCACAAACGTTGATTACAATACAGATTATAAAAGCGAAGTTAGATGGTGTCTCATGGATTCCAAGGATGTCATCTCAAGGCAAAGTAATCAAAGCAAATCAGACATTTTCAGTATCCTTCTCCATCCATTCCTCTTGTGTCACCTGCCCCCGTTCTACTAAGCTGAGTGCTATCATTCTTACCTCCAAAGTGTGGCACTTCCCCCGGATCCGATTGCAGAGTAGCTGGTAATTCTCCAGCACGACGTTCAGCTCGGTTGCCAGGTCCTGACCGCTAGACGGCACTTTGGTGGCCAACATCTTGATGTTGTCTTTGAGAATCTTCACCCGCACCTCTTTCTGCAACACATCCTCCTTCGCTCTCTGCCCAAAGAAATGTGTTACACGATCAGCCCTCAACTACCATACAGTCAGCTATTCACCATTCGAACCAAAGATCATCAGTTCAACCTTGGAAGCGTTGCTGCCAAAATATTTGTGGGTCTGAGGACAACAAAATACAGCACTAACTTGCGTGGAATTCAGATTATGTTAAGTGTCTAAAAATCCTATTTTATTAAACACATGGACATATTTAACATTTACAGTTTGTTCATTAAAAATCCATGACTCAAGGCAAAAAATATTAAGTTCAGTGCTATTTATATGCTAGAATATAGATATGAAAAAAAAAGAAACGAACCAGAAAGAAAAAATTAGAGGTTTGCTAAATACAAGCATATCAGGAGAAAAAGGTAGGGTGTATTTACAGAAGTTTTGAGTCCCCGACCTCAGTAACTACCTCCCAAAGTCATCCAGGAAAGATTATGTAATTACCAAGAACACATGTAACTGCAAAGTCAGGACCTGTCCCACAGCTGTTACGCACACTAGAGGAACATGCAAAAAGGACAACCAGAAGAATTCCTTCAGCCCAACTGCACTCAGAGGAGCTTGGTAACAACTACGGAAGATAAGCACAGTACAACTCCCGACACACAGGCCCGGAGAAATCATATTACCAGTTGTCGAATTTTGCCCTAACCGAAATTCAGGAAGCAGTATAGCTGGAAGACAGATCACTCAGACCAGTCTGAGCCTGTCTCTGTTGAGACCACTAGAAGGCTCCAGAAATACAGACTGTCCCATATCTCCTTCGTCTAGGTTTCAAGGACAGTTTTATGAAGTTGAAGTACCTCTGATACATAAGGCAGTGCACTTTATGGTAAAATTCAGTACATGATAGCATTATTGTTCCACATATTGTTCAAGAGGTCTTCTAAATGTAAGGCAATCAAAAAACCACGAGTTAATGGAAGGGCAAAAAATGGAAAATCTGGGAAACATATTATTTTATGGCAGGAATATCAAAAGCGACCTAGCCTCATCTTAAACCTACTCCTTCCAATGTCAGCAGGAGTTCCACTCTCTGTTCAAATGATGGCAGAATTCGGCAAACTCAAAAGTTTTTCAAAGCCTTATGCAAAAATGCTCCTGGTCAAATATACAGTGCTCTTTCCCAGTCCTAAAAGTAGTCCCAGCATAATATTCTTACTGTAAATGAAAGATAAGCTGTTACAGTAATCTTACTGGCTCAGTGACATACCTGCCAAATTTAAAAGTACAGAATATAATCTGGATTTGACAAAGGTAAATGTGTTCAAAGTCTCTCAGATTTGCCAATGAAAAGAGTTTTTTTCTTTCTTGGCTTGTGTTCAG